GAAATATAATGTGATTTCATGCATATGAGGTACTTATAGTAATAAACATAAATAAATAAAAAAAATATTACATATTATTAAATATAAATTAAAATATATATAATAAAATAAATTAAGTGGCTAGCAGAATGGTGATTGCCAGGGGATGTACAGAAGGAATATGGTAAGTAATTATTAATATTTAGTGGGTATAGATTTTCTGGTCCGGAAGATCAAAAATGTTTGGAAATAGTTACATGACAATGTGAATATACTTAATGCCTAGAGAATGGTTAAAACAGTAAGTTTTAAATTTATTTTACAACTATAAAAATAGCTGAAATGGTGTTTTGTGTTGTGTATATTTATCACTATATAGTTATATATATAATTTAATATATATTACCTATATATCATTAAAAAAAATTAAAATCAGTCTATGAATTCAGAGTGAACAGAATTCGAGAAGGAAGGCTAAAAAGATACAGTGTAATACAAGAGCTTGTATGCTAAAAGAGGGACAGGATTTAGACATATAGATGACTAACAACTTCATTATGCCAAAAAATGTCCCAAATGACACTGTTGACTTTTTTTTTTTTTTTTAATTTTTTTTTTTTTTTTTTGAGTTGGAGTCTCACTCTGTTGCCCAGACTGGAGTGCAGTGGCCCGCTCCCGGCCACGCAGCCTCGACCTGCTGGGCTCCAGCGATCCTTCTGCCTCAGCCTTCTGAGTAGCCGGAATTACAGGAATGTGCTACCACGCCCGGCTGATTTTTTGATTTATTGTAGAGATGAGGTCTCGCTGTCCAGGCGGGTCTTGAACCCGCAGGCTCAGGCAATCCACTCACCTCAGCCTCCCAAAGGTGTGGGATTATAGGTTGAGCCATCGAGCCCGGCTGACACTGTTGATTTTGTAAGAACACCAGACTCAGATACATTTTGGGTTTTAGTTCTAGCTCTTCTCATACCCAGTTGGTAAGGGTTGACAGTTTCATCAAAGATGAGCCTAAATTTCTATCTAGCTTGAGTAATCAGATTGATGGTAACACCATTGACTTTTCTAGGAAGCATGATGTTGAGAGTCAGGGTTTAGATTTGAACACAGGGCATTTGAGTTTTATCTCAAGTGGAGATAGTAGTTTCAAAATAGGATACAGGAATCTAGTTCTCAGTAGATAAATCTACATATAATTAATATAGTGATAAGCAGATGTTTTCCCTGAGGAAGAGATTAAATGTTATAAGAGATGAGGCTCTAGACTGGGTTTGATTGTTCCAAACTTTAAAAATTTAGTGAGTAAAATGAGATAGATGAGATTACAAAGGAGACAGCAATTCGACGTTTGTTCTGATAATTTGAGTGTAAGCTTTTCTGTGATAAGGGAAAGCTACTCAAAGTTAAACAAGTTATATGGTACAGGGAATCCAAAGTACTGGCAGAGGGATAAGCTTTAAAAGAGATGACTAAGATCTTCTCTACTGTAACAGGAATGAAGGAGGAACAATTCAGCAAATGCAAGCTGGTTTTCTTTTCTTTCTTTAATGTTAGACAAGTCCAATGGTTTCTGTTTCCTCTATGAAGTAGGCGATTTCAGAGCAGTACTGAAGAAAGAAATGCTTCACACTAGGGAAATATGTGTATTATTCTTCCTTGATGATCCCAAGAAGTTAGTCAATTCTTCTGCTAATTGCCTGCTTGGGACACAGGCTTTCCCCAAAAGACTTGATGTAAACAATTCATCAGATTCATAAACTTGCAAAATGTAGTTTCTGCTTCCCCACTCTCCAAGTTTTCATGACCACTAAGATAGTTTATTCAGGATAAGTTCATGTGAGAAATGTGAATCTGAATGGATTTTGTTTTGAAGTTGGTTTTCTTGTGTGTCGGCAGCAGGCTGGAGACAAAATAACAAAGTTAAGAGAGTGTCGTATAATTTGCTTCCTGAAGATGTGAAAAACACCAACACCTAAAATATTCCTGATAGTAAGTAAAAATTCAATCTGGTTTAGTCTAAATTAAATGCAGTTGTGTCTTGAAGAGGTTCATAAAAGTTAATACAGAAGAGACTTTATTGCTTTCATTACTGCTGGGTTTGTGGTATCATTAGAGTATTGCTGTGTGAGACAGGTAAACTACCTGAACTTTTTTTGTCTCTCACATGAGGATAGAGCAATTTCTTGGTATTCCTCATAAGCATAAGTTAGTGCCATGCAATTAATTATTCTAATTGATTAATATTTTTTGGAGTAAATTTCATTTATAGAAGCAATTTAGTTGTTGATCAATAGACAGATGGAGAGATAGACTGATATACACAAACTCAATTCCACAGCAACACAACTCTACAACTTAAGTGGCAGTGGATGTCCAGAGGAAACAGACCAGCAGAAAAATAGCCTTGAATGCTTTGCAAGTAGTGTAGTGTAGCGTGCATCACTCTGGCAGCTGGGTGGGGCTTAGTTTGAAAGAGAATTAGACGTAAAGACCAGGAATCTCACCATCTTGTTCTTCACCTTATATCGGCTTATTATTTGTCTTATCCACTTTCATTATTTTTTTTCACTGAATTCAACACAGTCAGATAAGATATTCGAACTCAGCATTATTCAAAACCATTGATATTGCTAGTTTTTAACCTAGGTCTCAAAGTCCTTCACATGTTGAGCTAGAATTCTTCACTTTACAATCTTTATTTTTTTCTCCTTTTTCACACACATTTTATTAATTGTCATTTTAAGAAAACTTCAGAAGAATTCCCATTTTAAGATTTCTGACACAGTGTGGCCTTACTTCAAACCTTTACTTTATTTGTTACTGATTTTTGTTAAAGGGATTGGCAGTAGTGAGAAACTGCCAGGGGAGAGAGGGGCACACTTCATCAACAAGGGTACCTGCATAATGAACATTTGTATACCTAACCCTGAATTGTACCCCACATCTTTAAAATAAAAAAAGGGGGAAAAAACTCTCAGTTTGCTTTCTGCCTGTGTCTCTAATTGTGGTTGTGGCCATTTTTTTCTCTGAACTTGTATTCATATCTATATTTTTTCATTTGTTATTCCTTTTGCCATGCTTAGTGTGGAAATTCTCAGTTATAGGGAAAAATAAGAATTATAAATATCTCAAAATGTAGAAAAAAGGATCGGAGGTTTGCATGACCTGATATTCTGTGGATTTTCCACAAACATTTCCTTTACCTCCTATGGGAGAAAGGAAACCACATCCAGCTCTTTGGGGGAATATAAATATGCACATTAGATATAATCACCTTATTCAAATCCTGTGCTATTATTTTACAATCAAGCAGGAAGAGTAACTTTGGCTGATGGGATTGTGAAACAATTTTGAACTGAGAATCTTGGTAAATCAGATAAAAATTCTTCAGAATAAGAATTTTCCTGTTGTTTAACACATCCATAGTTTCCCATTCTGAAAACAAAGCATGGAATCATTTATATTTTTAATTTATCTCCTTTTCCTTTAAAAATTCAGTATTACATTAACTTTGTCATTTTCATTAAATTAATTTTCATCTAATTTATTTCATTCAGTTACTGTTGTAATTTTTAGCAATTCTCAGTCTATTCGCACTACATACACCTAGTTTATACCATGAAAACTATTGATATGTTCCCACCTGACCTTCCAGACATCAATATTCTCTCCCACCCATTTTCCTATCAATACCAGACCGATGTTTCCAAAATAGAAAGAGAAAACATCATTCTTTTGTGTGCTCAGAACCTTTAATGACATTTCATTCTCTGCACAGTAAAGTGAAGAATTTTATTTCAATGATTTCCACAGTTTTATTTTAAGTACATTTTTCTAGGTGTACTTTTATCACTCGCTTCTTTAAACCTTCTGTTTTTTTTTTGAGTTGGAGTCTCACTGTCGCCCAGACTGGAGTGCAGTGGGCGCTCCTGGCCACCGCAGCCTCGACCTGCTGGGCTCCCGCGATCCTTCCGCCTCAGCCTTCCAAGTAGCTGGAACTACAGGAGCACGCCACCACGCCCGGCTAATTTTTTTTTGATTTATTGTAGAGGTGAGGTCTTGCCAAGTTACCCAGGCGGGTCTTGAACCCGCGGGCTCAGGCAATCCACTCACCTCAGCCTCCCAAAGGCGTGGGATTACAGGCTGAGCCACCGAGCCCAGCTAAACCTTCTTATAAAGACAAGTGAATGAGCCACACATCCTCTTCCAATGTTCATCAGATGACCTCAGGTTTTCCTCACTCTCCACATAAGTTCTTTTCATTTCTGTTTAAAATTTTTGCATTTTTGTCATTTTGAAAGTTAAGGAGTTTTAATAGATTTAGCTAAGAATTCTTTCAAATAAATTTTATATTTATAACAATACTATAACACATCTTTAGCTTTGTTAATACTGTGCATCTTTTAAAGCATATTTTTCTCTTTTCTTGATTATGAAGGAATTTTAGCCTGTTTATCTAAATAACATTTAAATAAATAAAAACATTAACAAATAATTTTTATTTTTAGCAGTTCAATCATTGTATGAGATAATTTCAATTTATGTCATATATTTTGGTTCCTCACACATGTTATCATTTCCTTCTAGTCATCACTACTCTTTTATCACTTCATACCAATCTTATCCATTATAAAGGCTTTAAAGGCTTTGTGTTGATTAGTTTCATCCATAAAGTCTTCCTCTTCTGATTGTGCTTATGATCAGAACTGAGAACTGTATTTTGTATGCAGATTTTGCATATGACCATGGAGACGTTGTTTGCTTTATTTTGAGATAATTTTATTCTCAGTAGTAAGTCATTGCAAATTTCTTGATACACATGCAAATATTTACTTTGGCATTAATAATAAATCCCCAGACAACTAAGAAGAGTCATTGGACTGGAATGAGGGAACGTGGATTAATGTTTGGAGGTAGAAACATTAGAGTGAGAAATGAATAGTTTGGACAAGTTGGTCTCCAACTCAGGTCTTGAGTTCTGTTATTCCAGAATAAGCTGCTTCAATGTACCTGTTCCATTCCTCTCTTTGCAGATGCTGTTCCCTCTGAAGGGATGGGATGGACCAATGAGAGTTCCCTGATGGGTTTCATCCTTGTAGGCTTCTCAGATCACCCTCACCTGGAAGTTGTGCTCTTTGTATTTGTCCTCTTCTTCTACCTTCTGACCCTTGTGGGAAACTTCACCATCATCATTGTCTCATACCTGGATCCCCCTCTCCACACTCCTATGTATTTCTTCCTCAGTAACCTCTCTTTACTGGACCTTTGCTTCACTACTAGCCTTGCTCCTCAGACCTTGGTTAACCTGCGAGGACCAGAGAAGACCATCACTTATGGTGGTTGTGTGGTGCAGCTCTACATTTCTCTAGCGCTGGGCTCCACTGAGTGCATCCTCTTGGTTGTGATGGCCTTGGATCGTTATGTTGCTGTCTGCAGGCCCCTCCACTATGTAGTCATCATGAAACCACGGGTATGCCAACAGCTGGCATCCATCTCTTGGCTCAGTGGTTTGACCAATTCCCTGATCCATGCAACATTTACCTTGCAATTGCCTCTCTGTGGAAACCACAGGTTGGATCATTTTATTTGTGAAGTACCGGCTCTCCTCAAGTTGGCTTGTGTGGACACCACCATCAATGAATTGGTGCTTTTTGTTGTTAGTGTCTTGTTCCTTGTAATTCCACCAGCACTCATTCTTATCTCCTATGGCTTCATAAGTCAAGCTGTGCTGAGGATCAAATCAGTGGAGGCGAGGCACAAAGCCTTTAACACGTGCTCCTCCCACCTTGCAGTGGTCATCATTTTCTATGGCACCATAATCTACATGTACCTGCAACCCAGCAACAGTTATGCCCAGGAACAAGGGAAGTTCATCTCCCTCTTCTACACCATGGTGACCCCCACCTTAAATCCTATCATCTATACTTTAAGGAACAAGGATGTGAAAGAAGCTCTGAAGAAACTTCTCTCAGGAAAATTGTGCTCCCTACAGAAGTGATATACAAGGAGTTGTTCATAAGCCATGCAGTTACTCAGCTTCTATTTAGTCAAACCAACACACCAGTTAAATTACCTATTTTATCTTCATAAGAGAGTTCCCTTTATCTTGTGTGTAACTAAGTAAAATGTATCTATGCTGATTTAAGTTGAGAGCTCAAGACATGAAAGAGAGAGCTGTGTATGGGTATAAATTGTGATCTATACCACAAAAGCCATCTTTTACTTCTGACACTTATTCCTAGGGATTGAAAAAAATTAAATTGTTAAGTATTTACTCTTTCACTAAGCTAGGAGGCTATTTTTTTCAATTTCAGTGAAATGCTCAGTTTTCTACCACTTTATGTTTACTTTATGATTTTTTAAATTAAAGTCTCATGTTGAAAAATAAGCAACTTCTATATGTGCTTTCATTACAAAGGTAGAAAAATGTCTGCTTGTAGCCCAAATTTATTGATCAGTAGGATATTGTATGAACTATTCTTTTCCAATAATCATTTCTTATTTTAAAATATATTTCAAGCATTTAATAAGGGGTAAGAGAAACAAAATATAATAAACATTATTTTTTATAACAGTGAGAATGAATATCTCCTTTTGTGATCTGAAGATCACATGCATGGTAGGTATATGCCTGTTGAGAGAAAAATAATTAATTTTGTTCTCAACTATTTTAAACATTAGACAAGTAACAATAATTGAAATTCAGAAGACATCATTATTTCCTTTAAAAACAGCTTTATAATTGATATACAAAAGTGTACATAATTTATACTATTTGATGAGTTATGATATGCACACACCCATGAAAAGATAGACAAAATCAAGGTAATACACATCACCTCTAGAAGATTCCTTGTGCCTTTTTTTTTTAATTATAAGAACACAACATAGAATCTACTCTTTTAACGAATTTTAAGTGTACAGTACTATTAACTATAAGCACTATGCTGTACAGCAGATGTCTAGAACTTATTTATTTTGTATAACCGAAACTTTGCATCCATTGAATAAAAACTCCTCATCTCCTCATCCCTCATCCTCTAGAGTCACCATTCTATTTTCTACATCTATAACTGTGAATACTTTTTAAAACTTTTATTACAAAAATTTGGGGTACAATTCAGGGTTAGGTATACAAACGTTGATTATGCAGGTACCCTTGTTGTTGAGGTATGCCTCTCCCTTCCCTAACAGTTTCCCTCAACTGCCAATCCTACCCCTGTCCCCTGACAGTTTCCCACTACTGCTAATTGCTTTCTTATAGTATTATAATTGTTCAAGGTCCACTTATGAATGAGAACATATGGTACTCTGTTCTTTGTTTCTGTGATAGTCACTAAGTATGATTGACTCTACGTTCATCCAAGTTGCTGCAAAGTCCATAAGTTTGTCCTTTTATATGGCTGCATAATATTCCATCGTGTATATGTACCACATTTTTTAATCCAGTTCAACTTCGATGGGCAACATGTTTGGTTCCATGTTTTTGCTATTGTGAAAAGAGCTGCAACAAACATACGTGTGCAGGTATTTTATTTAGCATAATGTTTTCCAGGTTCATCCATGTTTCATAAATATTAGAAATTGTTTCTTTTTAAACGTTGAATTTTATTACATTGTATAACATACCACATTTTATTTATTTGATTATTGGTTGATGAACATTTAGGTTGATTTCATGACTTGGTTATTGTCAGTGATGCTGCAGTGTCCATGGGAATGTAGATATCTCACCAGGACACCCATCTCAAATCTTTTGGATATATAACTAAAAATGGGATTGCTAGATCATATTGTAGTTCAATTTTTAATCTTTTGAGAAAACTCTATATGGTTTTCCATAGTGGCTATGCATTCTACATTTCCATCAACAGCACACAAAGTTTCCAGTTTTTCCAATTTCTTTATATCCTTGCTAATGCTTGTTACCTTTTGTTTTTATCTTTTTTTCTAGTTGATCAGATTTGCTGTTGAAACTTTCTATTGAATTTTTCCATGTAGCAATTGTGTTCTTCAGCTACAGATTTTCTGTTTGTGTTTTTTTAAATGGTTTTTTCTTTATTGATACCTTCATTTTGTTCATGTATCATTTTCCTGATTTTTTTTAGTTGTCTATTTGTGTTTTCTTATAGCTCACTGCTTCTTTGAGACTGGGCTATTTTGAATTCTGTGTGACTCAGTTCGTAGATTTTGTTTTTCTTTAGTGTTAGCTATTGGAGATTTGTTTTGTTCCTTTGATTTAAGTTGTATTTTTCTTATTTTCCATGTTTACTAATAGATTTGTGTTATTGCCTACATATTTAATGGGACAGACACCTCTTATATTCTTTATATACTGGTTTTGACAGGATAAGACCTTCACTAATCAACACAGCTAGAGATTTTGGGAGCCTCTCAAACCTTTACTAATAATGTTCATGGTCTACTCATCTCCTTCCTATCTGGGCAAAAATTTTCACTTATCTCTTTCTTTCCTTCTCCCAATCACACAGAGCAATACAGCCTGACATTCAAAGCCTACCCTTTTTCTCAAGGGCAGTGCACTGCAGGGCTTCTATATTGGAGTGAGCTCCATTTCTCTCCCACTCTCCTAGAATTACACAACTTCTCCAAATCTCATGGAGTTATGCCAACAGTTAAAAGCTACCCACTCTTTCTTTTCTTCTTAATTGCCTCCAGGCATTCAAATTACTCCAGTTCCTTCAGTGCTCTGGGTGAGGTGAGACCAAAGCAAGTTTCTGGAGCCAAAATGCAGGGGGTGTTGGATGCAAACTTCAATCTCTCTTTCTCTCAAGGGAGCAGTCATAGGCCAGGATAATCTCTCAGCAGTGAGCTGTGCCAGCTTGCGCAAAGGCCTGCATGGATAAAGAGGAACAGTCCTTCTTACCTGTTTCATTGTGGTTGTCCTTGGTTTGTGCTTGTCTGGGGTGCTGTAACTTCTTAACCAGATTCTAGAAACCTCTGAGAGATATCTTTGGTCATATGTCATTGTTACCTCAGTGTTTCTGAGGGACAAAAGGGCTAGGACTTCTTGTTCTACCATCTTCCTCCTCAAACAGTACTATTATTTTCTTTATAATTTTTATTACTTACAAGAAGTAAATAAGTCTGCTTGTCTCAGTCTAACCTTATCTCATTCATCTTAGTAAATCAAGAAAAGATTATGACTGAGATGGGCTAGACCAGAGGTCCCCAGTACCAGTTCCTGGCCTGTTAAGAACCGGGTTGCACAGCAGGTGGTGAATGGGAGGCCAGCGTATGAAGCTTCATCTGTACTTACAGCTGCTCCCCATTGCTCACATTACTGCCTGAGTTCTGTCTTTTGTCAGATCAGTGGTGGCATTAGATTCTCATAGGAGCGCAAACCCTAATGTGAACTACACACACAAGGGATCTAGGTTACATGCTCCTTATGAGAATCTAATGCGTAATGATCTGAGGTGGAGTTGAGGCAGTGATGCTAGTGCTGGGGAGCGGCTGCAAATACAGATTAACATTAGCAGTAAGGTTTGACAGGACAGAGACCATAATAAATCAATTGCTTGCAGACTCATATCAAAATAATAATTTCATAATAATATTATTTTATTATATATAACAATGCATTAATAATAAAAAGTACACAATAAATGTAATGTGCTTGAATCATCCCAAAACCATCCTCCCCTTTTCCCCCTCCCAGGTCTTTGGGAAAATTGTCTTCACACGAAACCAGTCCCTGACACGTAAAAGGTTGGAGACTGCTGAGTTAGATTAGAGTTGGTTTGATATTTTACATCTTAAACGTATGTGTAGAGTGTGAATCTGTGTAGGTTGCAACCACTAATTGTGTGTGTGTATGAGTGTGTGAGTGTACAACCAGAAAAAAATCCCAGGTAAATATAGAAGGATAATGAGATAGCAGAAGACAGATTTTATTAGACTGATAGTGCATTATTTGCTCCCCATATATTGCATCATAAAGTGTGCAATGAGTTATCACAACTTTTCTTTTATATTATTTCCAACAAAGAAGTGGCCTTTCTAGTAAATTAGTTTGTTTTCCAAAATTTGTGCAAAATAATGAGTATTTTGTTTTAGATTTAAATATGTTAACCTTATTATTAAACAGGCACATTACACTATTAACATGAAGTCCCTAAAACTAGTTTTTAGAGAAATAAATTTAAACCACTGCCAACTTACTACATCAAAAGACAGAGTTGACCAAAGACTTTGAATAACCAAGGCAATCTTGAGCAAAAAAGAACAAACCTGGAGGCACCACATGAATTGACTTCAAATATACTACACAACTATAGTAGCCAAAACAGCGTAGTACTGAATAAAGTAAACATATTAACCAAGATAACAGAATAGAGAACCCCAAAATGAACAAGTACATCTATGGCCAACTGAATTTTGCAATGATGCCAAGAATGCATAATGGGAAAAGAATATTCTTTTCACTATAGGGTGTTGAATAAATGGAATGAAATTGGACCCTTATCTCACATTACATAAAAAAAACCCCAAATTAAGACTTAAATATAAAACATGAAACTGCAAAACTGCTAGAAGAAAACACAGGGGAAAAAAACTATATAATATTGATCTGGGCAATTATATTTTGGATTTGACCCAAAAAGCTCAGGCAACAAAACCAAAAATAGACAAGTGGAATTACATAAATTAAAAAGCTTCTGCACAACAAAGGAAACAATTGATAGAGTTAAGAAGCAACCTATAAAATGGAAGAAAATAGTTTGAAGCCATACATTTGCTGCAGAGTTAATATGCAAAATATATAAAGAACTCAAGCAGCATGTGCGCACTCATGCTTATTGCAGCACTAGTCACAATAGCCAACAGTTGGAATCAACTTAAGTGACCATCAACCAATGAAGGAATAAAGAAAAATGTGATAGGCCTACATAACGGAATCCAACTCAGCTCTTAAAAGGAAGAAAACCCCGACTGGGGATGGTGGCTCACACCTGTAATCCCAGCACAAGCTAAGGCTGGA